GTTGTATATTTAATCGTGTCTATGTATATATATATATATATATATATATATATATATATATATATATATATATATATATATATATATATATATATATATATATATATATATATATAAGTGTATGTAAGAAGTATAGAACTAAGATAGAGCCCCCCCCCCCCCCCACCGCTTGTCTGAGTTCCGCCCGTCCCAGCCCTCTAGAGACTACTACGGCTCCGGTGCCCTCGATGTGTAATCCATTTTATAATGGAATATGCATGGCTTTTTTCCTGGGTTTTTGCCAGCCTTCGCTCGTAGCAAACGGTTTTATTTTATCTTACAGTTCAATGTTACCGCCTGCCGACCTAATATTATCTGCACAATGTTTGGTGTAATATCTGCACAATGTTTGGTGTATCTGATGAATGTTTGGTGTATCTGATGAATGTTTTGTGTATCTGATGAATGTTTTTTGTATCTAATGAATGTTTGGTGTATCTGATGAATGTTTGGTGTATCTGATGAATGTTTGGTGTATCTGATGAATGTTTGGTGTATCTGATGAATGTTTGGTGTATCTGATGAATGTTTGGTGTATCTGATGAATGTTTGGTGTATCTGATGAATGTTTGGTGTATCTGATGAATGTTTGGTGTATCTGATGAATGTTTGGTGTATCTAATGAATGTTTGGTGTATCTGATGAATGTTTGGTGTATCTGATGAATGTTTGGTGTATCTGATGAATGTTTGGTGTATCTGATGAATGTTTGGTGTCCCCTGGGTGGTGTCCTGTTCCCTGGGTGGTGTCCTGCCCCCTGGGTGGTGTCCTGCCCCCTGGGTGGTGTCCTGTTCCCTGGGTGGTGTCCTGTTCCCTGGGTGGTGTCCTGTTCCTGGATGGTGTCCTGTTCCCTGGGTGGTGTCCTGTTCCCTGGGTGGTGTCCTGTTCCCTGGGTGGTGTCCTGCCCCCTGGGTGGTTTCCCCTGGGTGGTGTCCTGTTCCCTGGGTGGTGTCCTGCCCCCTGGGTGGTGTCCTACCCACTGGGTTGTGTCCTGCCCCCTGGGTGGTATCCTGCCCCCTGGGTGGTGTCCTGCCCTGTGGGTGGTGTCCTGTCCACTGGGTGGTGTCCTGCCCACTGGGTGGTGTCCTGCCCACTGGTTTGAATGTCTTGTGAGAGTTTGGGTTGGGTTATGTCGTGTTGTAAGGGGTTCTATGGGGTTCAGTGGGGTTCAGTGGGGTTATGGGATTGTAGGAGATTGTGTTGGATTATGTGGGGTTTTGTTGTGTGGGGTGTATGCAGATATATTTTAAGAAGATGGTTTACTTTAGGGATGATGGTTTAGTTTAGGGATGATGGTTTATGCTATTGATCATTACCTTTCCGGTAAGCGGCAAGTTTTGTTTAGAAGGATGTTTCTTGTGGCATTGTGTTTTAAGTTGGTTTAGGTCGTTGTGTCATAAATGTATCCATTGCGTGCCGCCTATGCTGATAAAGATCCTATCAATGCATCAATTGCGTGCCGCCTATGAATAAAGAACGCAAATAAAAAATTCGAATGTTAGCTTTGTTCAGCAATCGAATGGTCTAGAACATCATTTAGCACCCCCTCCCCCCTCCAACTTAATCTCCCAGTCCCCCCCTCCAACTTCTCCCAGTCCCCTCCCCCCTAAAGCCTTATGTAGCGGGCTAAAACGGCACCCCTCCCCCAAACACTCAGCAAACCCATGTCTATCTGAGATATTTAACGTCTTTTGACATCAAAAAGTAATTTCCTGAGAGAACGTGTTCCCTGTACATAAGTCTAGAACTGAGAGAACGTGTTCCCTGTACAAAAGTCTAGAACTGAGAGAACGTGTTCCCTGTACAAAAGTCTAGAACTGAGAGAACGTGTTCCCCGTACGAAAGTCTAGAACTGAGAGTGTTCCCTGTACATAAGTCTAGAACTGAGAGAACGTGTTCCCTGTACAAAAGTCTAGAACTGAGAGAACGTGTTCCCTGTACAAAAGTCTAGAACTGAGAGAACGTGTTCCCGGTACGAAAGTCTAGAACTGAGAGAACGTGTTCCCTGTACAAAAGTTTAGAACTGAGAGAACGTGTTGCCTGTACAAAAGTTTAGAACTGAGAGAACGTATTCCCTGTACAAAAGTCTAGAACTGAGAGAACGTGTTCCCTGTACAAAAGTCTAGAACTGAGAGAACGTGTTCCCTGTACAAAAGTCTTGAACTGAGAGAACGTGTTCCCTGTACAAAAGTCTAGAACTGAGAGTGTTCCCTGTACAAAAGTCTAGAACTGAGAGAACGTGTTCCCTGTACAAAAGTCTAGAATTGAGAGAACGTGTTCCCTGTATAAAAGTCTAGAACTGAGAGTGTTCCCTGTACAAAAGTCTAGAACTGAGAGTGTTCCCTGTACAAAAGTCTAGAACTGAGAGAACGTGTTCCCTGTACAAAAGTCTAGAACTGAGAGTGTTCCCTGTACAAAAGTCTAGAACTGAGAGTGTTCCCTGTACAAAAGTCTAGAACTGAGAGTGTTCCCTGTACAAAAGTCTAGAACTGAGAGTGTTCCCTGTACAAAAGTCTAGAACTGAGAGTGTTCCCTGTACAAAAGTCTAGAACTGAGAGTGTTCCCTGTACAAAAGTCTAGAACTGAGAGTGTTCCCTGTACAAAAGTCTAGAACTGAGAGTGTTCCCTGTACAAAAGTCTAGAACTGAGAGTGTTCCCTGTACAAAAGTCTAGAACTGAGAGAACGTGTTCCCTGTACAAAAGTCTAGAACTGAGAGTGTTCCCTGTACAAAAGTCTAGAACTGAGAGTGTTCCCTGTACAAAAGTCTAGAACTGAGAGTGTTCCCTGTACAAAAGTCTAGAACTGAGAGTGTTCCCTGTACAAAAGTCTAGAACTGAGAGTGTTCCCTGTACAAAAGTCTAGAACTGAGAGTGTTCCCTGTACAAAAGTCTAGAACTGAGAGTGTTCCCTGTACAAAAGTCTAGAACTGAGAGTGTTCCCTGTACAAAAGTCTAGAACTGAGAGTGTTCCCTGTACAAAAGTCTAGAAATGAGAGTGTTCCCTGTACAAAAGTCTAGAACTGAGAGTGTTCCCTGTACAAAAGTCTAGAACTGAGAGTGTTCCCTGTACAAAAGTCTAGAACTGAGAGTGTTCCCTGTACAAAAGTCTAGAACTGAGAGAACGTGTTCCCTGTACAAAAGTCTAGAACTGAGAGAACGTGTTCCCGGTACGAAAGTCTAGAACTGAGAGAACGTGTTCCCTGTACAAAAGTTTAGAACTGAGAGAACGTGTTGCCTGTACAAAAGTTTAGAACTGAGAGAACGTATTCCCTGTACAAAAGTCTAGAACTGAGAGAACGTGTTCCCTGTACAAAAGTCTAGAACTGAGAGAACGTGTTCCCTGTACAAAAGTCTTGAACTGAGAGAACGTGTTCCCTGTACAAAAGTCTAGAACTGAGAGTGTTCCCTGTACAAAAGTCTAGAACTGAGAGAACGTGTTCCCTGTACAAAAGTCTAGAATTGAGAGAACGTGTTCCCTGTATAAAAGTCTAGAACTGAGAGTGTTCCCTGTACAAAAGTCTAGAACTGAGAGTGTTCCCTGTACAAAAGTCTAGAACTGAGAGAACGTGTTCCCTGTACAAAAGTCTAGAACTGAGAGTGTTCCCTGTACAAAAGTCTAGAACTGAGAGTGTTCCCTGTACAAAAGTCTAGAACTGAGAGTGTTCCCTGTACAAAAGTCTAGAACTGAGAGTGTTCCCTGTACAAAAGTCTAGAACTGAGAGTGTTCCCTGTACAAAAGTCTAGAACTGAGAGTGTTCCCTGTACAAAAGTCTAGAACTGAGAGTGTTCCCTGTACAAAAGTCTAGAACTGAGAGTGTTCCCTGTACAAAAGTCTAGAACTGAGAGTGTTCCCTGTACAAAAGTCTAGAACTGAGAGTGTTCCCTGTACAAAAGTCTAGAACTGAGAGAACGTGTTCCCTGTACAAAAGTCTAGAACTGAGAGTGTTCCCTGTACAAAAGTCTAGAACTGAGAGTGTTCCCTGTACAAAAGTCTAGAACTGAGAGTGTTCCCTGTACAAAAGTCTAGAACTGAGAGTGTTCCCTGTACAAAAGTCTAGAACTGAGAGTGTTCCCTGTACAAAAGTCTAGAACTGAGAGTGTTCCCTGTACAAAAGTCTAGAACTGAGAGTGTTCCCTGTACAAAAGTCTAGAACTGAGAGTGTTCCCTGTACAAAAGTCTAGAACTGAGAGTGTTCCCTGTACAAAAGTCTAGAACTGAGAGAACGTGTTCCCTGTACAAAAGTCTAGAACTGAGAGTGTTCCCTGTACAAAAGTCTAGAACTGAGAGTGTTCCCTGTACAAAAGTCTAGAACTGAGAGTGTTCCCTGTACAAAAGTCTAGAACTGAGAGTGTTCCCTGTACAAAAGTCTAGAAATGAGAGTGTTCCCTGTACAAAAGTCTAGAACTGAGAGTGTTCCCTGTACAAAAGTCTAGAACTGAGAGTGTTCCCTGTACAAAAGTCTAGAACTGAGAGTGTTCCCTGTACAAAAGTCTAGAACTGAGAGTGTTCCCTGTACAAAAGTCTAGAACTGAGAGTGTTCCCTGTACAAAAGTCTAGAACTGAGAGAACGTGTTCCCTGTACAAAAGTCTAGAACTGAGAGTGTTCCCTGTACAAAAGTCTAGAACTGAGAGTGTTCCCTGTACAAAAGTCTAGAACTGAGAGTGTTCCCTGTACAAAAGTCTAGAACTGAGAGAACGTGTTCCCTGTACAAAAGTCTAGAACTGAGAGTGTTCCCTGTACAAAAGTCTAGAACTGAGAGTGTTCCCTGTACAAAAGTCTAGAACTGAGAGTGTTCCCTGTACAAAAGTCTAGAACTGAGAGTGCTCCCTGTACAAAAGTCTAGAACTGAGAGTGTTCCCTGTACAAAAGTCTAGAACTGAGAGTGTTCCCTGTACAAAAGTCTAGAACTGAGAGTGTTCCCTGTACAAAAGTCTAGAACTGAGAGCTGTGTATTTGCAGGCTATGGCGGACAAGAGGACGAGGGAGGAGATCCTGGCGGACATACGACGGGAGGATGAGAGCAGGGACGTGCCGGTCACTCAAGCGGTCACCATCGCTGTCCTGGCCAGCGTGTCGTCATTAGCAGGTGGGCCCTTGGTCTATAGCACTTACACATACAGGTGCACACACAGATGCACATACAGGTGCACACACAGGTGCACATACAGTGCATATACAGGTGCACACACAGGTGCGCATACAGGTGCATATACAGGTGCACACACAGGTGCGCATACAGGTGCATATACAGGTGCATACACCTGCACTCACCTAATGATCGTCTGCTGCCAATTGTGTTCCCCCCCCCACCCCACCCCCGCAGGACCAGTTTGTTGGTCCATCAGTTCTGTGTTGGATGACAGATGACAGAGCAGGTTTGTTGGATGCTAGATGACGCTCTCTAGAAGCTGTGACAGCAAACAGACCACCCAATAAGACATCTACTCACTCATCACAAGCAGTTTGATCTGATGTTACTTTCTCTCCTTAGTTCGTGTTTGATGTGACTTTCTCTCCTTAGTTCGTGTCTGAAATCTGAATCTTTTATAATCTAAATGTGAATGTATTCATGTGCTTTAAAATGAACATTGAAAATCTGTTTCTATCGGCCAATTGGTTAAGCGACCACCGTGCCTACTATTGTTGAAAATATTTTTAGAAAACATTTGTTATCGCACATCCACATCCAGTGGACCCCGTGACCACGGCAGACGCTGGTGGTCCAAAATTAGCCAACAGATCAATCAAGACGTTCAGGATTTATTGATTTGATTTAAAACTTGACGGCGTGTGTACCTGAGATTGCTGACTGCAACATGCTGCACCCAAGTCACCGGTAGTTAGCCATACCCCACCCCGGCAACCCAACCTCCCCACCCCATCACCCACCCCGGCAACCCAACCTCCCCACCCCATCACCCACCCCGGCAACCCAACCTCCCCACCCTCCACCCCGGCACCCAAACCTCCACACCCCTAGACCCCACCCCGGCAACCCAACCTCCCCACCCCATCACCCACCCCGGCAACCCAACCTCCCCACCCCATCACCCACCCCGGCAACCCAACCTCCCCACCCTCCACCCCGGCACCCAAACCTCCACACCCCTAGACCCCACCCCGGCAACCAAACCTCCCCTCACAACCCCCCCCCCCCCCCCACCACGGCTATAAAACCTTCCCACTTCACATTTGACCTTTAAAAAACTGATGAATTGCTGTCATAGGCTATGACGTAAAACTAATTAGTAACCTTGTGTAATAGCTCTGCTTAATTAGTCCTCAATTAGATAACGATCTATTAGATACGTATAAACCCCTTAGGGAAATTAGGCACCCGACCCCTACGTACACACCTGACCAATGTACAACCTGACCCGTGTACACACCTGACCCGTGTACACACCTGACCCGTGTACACACCTGACCCGTGTACAGACCCGTGTACAGACCCGTGTACACACCTGACCCGTGTACACACCTGACCCGCGTAAAAACCTGACCCGTGTACAGACCCGTGTAGACACCTGACCCGTGTACACACCTGACCCGTGTACACACCTGACCCGTGTACACACCTTACTCTTGTACACACTTGACCCGTGTACACACCTGACCCGTGTACACACCTGACCCGTGTACACACCTTACTCGTGTACACACCTGACCCGTGTACACACCTGACCCGTGTACACACCTGACCAATGTACAACCTGACCCGTGTACACACCTGACCCGTCTACACACCTGAGCAATGTACAACCTGACCCGTGTACACACCTGACCCGTGTACAGACCCGTGTACATACCTGACCCGTGTACACACCTGACCAATGTACACACCTGACCCGTGTACACACCTGACCCGTGTACAGACCAGTGTACACACTTGACCCGTGTACACACCTAACCCGTGTACACACCTGACCCGTGTACACACCTAACCCGTGTACACACCTGACCCGTGTACTCACCTGACCCGTGTACACACCTGACCCGTGTACACACCTGACCCGTGTACACACCTGACCCGTGTACACACCTGACCAATGTACAACCTGACCCGTGTACACACCTGACCCGTGTACAGACCCGTGTACACACCTGACCCGTGTACAGACCCGTGTACACACCTGACCCGTGTACAGACCCGTGTACAAACCCGTGTACACACCTGACCCGTGTACACACCTCACCCGTGTACACACCTTACCCGTGTATACACCTGACCCGTGTACACATCTCTCCCACAGGGACTGTGGCCTGCCTCTCCCTGGGGTTCCTGGAGATCTACAGGAAAGACGTCACAGCCTTCTGGATGGCCTGCACGCCAGTAAGTCGACAGTAAACCTACAGGTTGTGTGGCAGTGAACCTACAGGTTGTGTGGCAGTGAACCTACAGGTTGTGTGGCAGTGAACCTACAGGTTGTGTGGCAGTGAACCTACAGGTTGTGTGGCAGTGAACCTGCAGGTTGTGTGGCAGTGAACCTACAGGTTGTGTGGCAGTGAACCTACAGGTTTTGTGGCAGTTAACCTACAGGTTGTGTGGCAGTGAACCTACAGGTTGTCTGGCAGTGAACCTACAGGTTGTGTGGCAGTGAACCTGCAGGTTGTGTGGCAGTGAACCTACAGGTTGTGTGGCAGTGAACCTACAGGTTGTGTGGCAGTGAACCTACAGGTTGTGTGGCAGTGAACCTGCAGGTTGTGTGGCAGTGACCCTACAGGTTGTGTGGCAGTGAACCTACAGGTTGTGTGGCAATGACCCTACAGGTTGTGTGGCAGTGAACCTACAGGTTGTATGGCAGTGAACCTACAGGTTGTGTGGCAGTGAACCTACAGGTTGTTCGGCAGTGAACCTACAGGTTGTGTGGCAGTGAACCTACAGGTTGTGTGGCAGTGAACCTACAGGTTGTGTGGCAGTGAACCTACAGGTTGTGTGGCAGTGAACCTACAGGTTGTGTGGCAGTGAACCTACAGGTTGTGTGGCAGTGAACCTACAGGTTGTGTGGCAGTGAACCTACAGGTTGTGTGGCAGTGAACCTACAGGTTGTGTGGCAGTGACCCTACAGGTTGTGTGGCAGTGACCCTACAGGTTGTGTGGCAGTGAACCTACAGGTTGTGTGGGAGTGAACCTACAGGTTGTGTGGCAGTGAACCTACAGGTTGTGTGGCAGTGAACCTACAGGTTGTGTGGCAGTGAACCTACAGGTTGTGTGGCAGTGAACCTACAGGTTGTGTGGCAGTGAACCTACAGGTTGTGTGGCAGTGAACCTTCAGGTTGTGTGGCAGTGAACCTACAGGTTGTGTGGCAGTGAACCTACAGGTTGTGTGGCAGTGAACCTACAGGTTGTGTGGCAGTGAACCTACAGGTTGTGTGGTAGTGAACCTACAGGTTGTGTGGCAGTGAACCTACAGGTTGTGTGGCAGTGAACCTACAGGTTGTGTGGCAGTGAACCTACAGGTTGTGTGGTAGTGAACCTACAGGTTGTGTGGCAGTGAACCTACAGGTTGTGTGGCAGTGAACCTACAGGTTGTGTGGCAGTGAACCTACAGGTTTTGTGGCAGTGACCCTACAGGTTGTGTGGCAGTGAACCTACAGGTTGTGTGGCAGTGAACCTACACGTTGTGTGGCAGTGACCCTACAGGTTGTGTGGCAGTGAACCTACAGGTTGTGTGGCAGTGAACCTACAGGTTGTGTGGCAGTGAACCTACAAGTTGTGTGGCAGTGAACCTACAGGTTGTGTGGCAGTGAACCTACAGGTTTTGCGGCAGTGAATCATGAACTCCACAATAAAAATTATAGACCATTCTTTTCAGTGTTTAAAATCAATTTATGTGGCCCATGTCACATGTGGCCCATGTCACGTGTGGCCCATTTCACATGTGGCCAGTGTTGTGTCGCCTGTGTCACATGTCAATTGGCCACAAACTTTGAGATTGTGTTCCTTGATTAGAAGTGATATGACGAGTTGAAAGTGTTTTATTTTTTTCTTTCAGTTTTGTTACCAGTTCATCACGGGGATCTACCTGGCCTATAGGAGGCAGCTCTCTTGTGTAAGTCAGTTTCTGGGGCCGTCACTCTCGGGTCACACACGGGTCACACACGGGTCACACACGGGTCACACATTGGTCACATACGGGTCACACACGGGTCACACATTGGTCACATACGGGTCACACATTGGTCACATACGGGTCACACAGGGGTCACACAGGGGTCACACATTGGTCACATATGGGTCACACACGGGTCACACACGGGTCACATATGGGTCACACACGGGTCACATACGGGTCACATACGGGTCACATACGGGTCACATACGGGTCACACACGGTTCACATACGGTTGTGTATCGACCAGCACCAGCCCCCAGCAGATCAATATCAGCAAACAAAAACATCCAATCAAGCCAACTCCCCCCCCCCCCACACACACCCTCTCAACTCCCCACCTTTACCCCCCCCCCCTCCCACACACACACACACCTGCCGGTTGTGTGGAAACCTGTGAGAGTTGATTTAAAAATTTTCTCGACCAACAGATTGGTTGAGGTCAGGGAGTCAAATTTTTCGGGCCCCTACATGTTTATATATATATATATATATATATATATATTATAATATATATATATATATATATATATATATATATATATATATATATATATATATATACGTGTTCCCCTTGGCATGTTCCCTTGTGACATGTTCCCTGTCTCCCCCACAGATTGGGGTGCACATTACGCTCCTGTTGGCTACACTGCTAGTGGGCGGGGCGGGCTACATCTACTCTATAGAGCCTGTCTTCATGGAGAGGCACAGCTGTGTGTAAGTTTATTGCTCATTTTAGTCACACTTTAGTCAGCTTCTTTAGTCACATGTGTATACTTTAGTCAGCGATAGTCACACGTATACTTTAGTCAGCTTTAGTCACACTTGTACACTTTAGTCAACTTTAGTCACATTTGTATACTTTAGTCAGCTATAGTCACATGTGTATACTTTAGTCAGCTATAGTCACATGTGTATACTTTAGTCAGCTTTAGTCACATGTGTATACTTTAGTCAGCTTTAGTCACACGTGTATACTTTAGTCAGCTTTAGTCACATGTGTATACTTTAGTCAGCTTTAGTCACATTTGTATACTTTAGTCAGCTTTAGTCACATGTGTATACTTTAGTCAGCTTTAGTCACATGTGTA